GAGATGTGACTTCAAATACAGTCAGAGTGCAAACTGCACCGCTTGACTTGGGACCCAGCAGACTGGCTGCAGCTTCCTCTGAATAGCGAATAACAATCTGGTTTCAGCAGCTCTCATCTCATACTCTCACTCTTACTTGTTTGGGCGAAGTAGCTGTAAATATTTTAGCATTGGAAACACGACTATCTTGTTGAGCACAGTTTTCTATATTTAGCTCTAGAGAGTTACGCAGAAAAAAAAGCAAACCTACCTGTTGAGTATTACCACACCAACACAACAGCGGGAGGTATAAACACTTTAACAAGCACAAATACAGAAGGTCCCCGTCACTCTATGAGTGACCTTGAGATGTGAGGACTAAACAGGATGTTTTACACAGCTTGAGCTGACCACAGGAAACTTTTGTATTCTTAAACCTGGTTGTAAAACAGCCTCCAATGCCGAGTCAGAATCAAGTCTAACTGGCACAGAGCAAAGTTTCACAGAGTCCTGCAAAACTGATGAATACTATAACCTGACTTGGAAACCAGCCAAGGTAAATACCATAAACACTGATGAAAAAATGATTACTGAAAGTGTAAAGAAATGTGATTTCCCTGAATGATAAGCCCTCGTTCTGAGGTATCAGTCAGATTCAACAACTCTGGTGTTTTCCCTTGACTAAAGCTGTTTTCTCATATTCAGTCTCAGGTCCGGTCATTGTCCAGAGTCGCCTGGGAGATTGTCTGTTAGGGCAGGGTATCACCACTGATTTCCCAAATCAACTTAACTCACAAGGTCAATGTGATTCGAAATTTGATTTGATTCACCTCAATATCGATTCAGTTACAGATATTTCAGTTACAATACTAATTTTGCTTGGATGTGAATGAGTTTCTCAGAGAACTAATGCTGTAAACTCTACCCCTGTACCTTGTGCATTATTAAAAATATTTACATTAAGAATGGACCCCAAAGAAGTTACATTAATGCACTTTTTATTTCACCTGACCAACAGTTTAGACACACATTTCAAGAAATAATGGGTAGGTAAGTAAGATGTGTTGCCACCCAGGTGGTGCCTGGGTAGAGAGTGCGGAGGAAGCAGGACGTCCTGTAAGAAATATGCTGCTGAAATCTTAGTGTTTTGTTTACAGCACATGTATGATAGAGATGTCATCAACATGCCCCCTCACCCGCTGTGAATTCTCCAGACAATGACCTACTCTATTAACACATGGGCTTAATCGGACGTTTCATGGACTTTATTCTCGGGGGTTGCTAGTGTAGAGCCTGTTTCATGTCCGACCCAACTGGTTCGGACATTTGTGCTGTCACATACATGTCCTCTGGGTAACGCTGAGCTACATTGCATGTGTGAAAGCAGCTTAAGCCTGCACTCCCTGTACTACTACCTAACAAAAAGGTACTAAGACCAAGGGGTCATATTTCAATTAGGTGAAACAATCAGGCTGTCCTTTTAGCTCTACGTGTCATCAAGGGTCCTCTCAGAGCAACTGCTCTTCCACACAGCTATTAATCTTAAATTGAATACATACCATATGACCGATTGGCAGTTCTTTGAAACGAAACTTGTTATCTCTGTCTCTCGGTCTCACTTAAGGCACACAGACTGACGAAACACTAAAGGAATGCCATCTATTCAGACATCAGCAACGCAAAAATGCAGCTTGACAGAGACAGACTAGAGACAGTTATCAAAAGTGGCCCTGCCACACAAAAGAGGCAGGCTCTCTATTTATTCTTCTCCTCTCTGTCTGATACCAGTCAGTATTAAGAAGTCATTTCTGAAAACAGAATCTCATTTAGAAACAAGCTGTTTTTAATTCAGCTGCTGAAAGTGCAGTTTGGACCTACTGTGTTTCCATACACATCTATAATAAAACATATGTGTAGTGTTTATAACATAGTGGGACGAGATAAAGCTCAAAAGTGTGCCCAACTTTATCAAGGATCTACTATCACTGAATAAATTTAATCAGCCTGATTATCTGCCATTTAAGCTCCTTAGACTTATTAGTTTATTAGTCTGTTTGATAACAATCTCACAAAAATATATCCTGCATTTTAATTGTATTGTTGACATGTTCAACAGCCTAACGAGTATAAGCTAAATGTCAGTAATGTCACTAAATTTATGCTCATTTGATTATCAATCAGGCGATCTAACCACAGAGAGACTTCTCCCAGTCCCATGAGAAAAAGTGATAAATTAATGAATTATTGAGAGCACAGAGGCCGGCAGACAAAGAACGAAAGCCATGCATCCCAGTCACTTCTTCACCCCATCTGCAGTCAAAGAATCCCCCCAAAGATTGATTCATTGTTAACATCGCCTGACACCCTGTGTGAGGGAGAAAGAAAGTGGTAGATAAAGGGACAGAGAATGGGGGACAGGGGGCTCCATTTGCCAAGAATATGAGCAGAGGCAGTTCATTGGACAGGTTCCCACAGTGGTCATTCTGCCACTTACAAAAATACCACATACGTGGGCTTGAGTAATGGCATTCCATCAGACTCAAAATAAAGACAAGTTAGCTCATCTGACGGCTGAAAGCTGCCAGCAGCACCATTCTCACTTGTTCATTCCCAGCTACACACCAATTACAATATACCGGTCAAAAGTTTTATAACACTTCAACTTTTCCAGCTGTTATTTAAATTTAAATAATTCAGTGTCTCAGTGTTTCTGAAGTTAAACCGTGGAACAAATAAACAATCAGGGATTTTAAAAACAAGGAATCTACTTATTGAACTGAATTTAATCTAAAATTTTGACTCATCCAGCAGCTGAACACACTCTGGGCTTCGTTCTACAATGGAAATCAAATATTGTTCAGAAAGTTTGTCCCAACACTGTTGCAGAAGTTCCCACGAATGTTTCACCTTCTGTCTAGTTCATCCCAAACCAGATCCATGTGGCTTAAGTCTGGAGACTGTGCTGCTCTTCCATCATGTCTCGTTCTTTTCCTCTACTGCTTTGGCTCATTATCTTGTTGTAGGATGAACCCCTGACCAACCACTGTTTTTTTTTTTTTGTTTTTTGTTTCTTGTATTTTTCCTGGCCATTCTGGTAGCAATATACAGCATGGTGCTGCAGCACATTATTGTCCTAATAATGCATTTGAGGGTGTAGAAACACAGTTTGTTTCATCACTGCCTTTGCACAGGCAGAGGGTTTGTAAGTCATCAACTAAAGTTGGGACACCTGTAGGAATTGTTTGCATGAACTTTCAAGGCTTCATTTATTTCCATTGCTGCAGGAAAGTTGTGAGTTAACCAATTTCTTAATCTCTGAATAAGGCCCGTTTTCTATGATATGCACATGATTGTTCAGTTTTTGGTGACCTAAACTGTTTTAACAGCAGTTTAGTGATTACCTTTGCACCATTTGGACTTGAGCTACTTTCATTTCAATAAAAAACGAAAAAATGGGGGTGTACTGAAACTTTGGGCTGGCGGTGTAAACACCCACATTACTGAGATACCACAGTCCATTTAATGAGTGCCCTGCATGAAATTGTGTAAACAAGAATATTTGTCAATAAGGGACAACTTATTATCTAGACCATGTACCATAAGACAAAATACCTACATGATTTCAGAGACTCTCACGTGGAAATAAGCACTGAGCTGTAAATGCCTGCAAGTATTGGCAGGGATGGCCCCTGGCGAAGAGAGTGACAGCACACCTTGACCTCAACCGTTTCAGTGGAATGACTAACCTACCTCCTCATTGTCTGCCTACACATGACCATGCGCTCAAAGAATGTCCTTTTACCACCTCAAAATCTGAGTGCTCAGCATGCACCTTGTGCAGGGAGAAAGCAAACCTGGACTCTACCTGAACCCAGCCAGTGTTAAAACTCTGCTGCACTGAAACATATTCATCTCCTGCCACCAGTCTGCCTGTCTCTCTCTCTCTCTCTCACACCTAAATATGATTTATCAGCAGTGAAAACCAACATTCATCACCGTGTGATGGGCCATTTTACCAACGATTACAATCATGGATACATAATCTCACTACAGCTATGCAAATAAATAACAGATGCTGTGGATTTTCCAGAGCAGCCACGTTGAGCTTCAAGTTTGATTGTCAGCGGTGAGTGAGAGTGATGTACTGGTAAATACACGGTAGTTTATCATGAGCTGCAACTCATTATAAATGTAATAAAGAAGTCTTTCCTGAGAAGCAGCTATTTCTAATCCATATCGTCAGCTAAATCAGTTTGTTGCTATTTGTTACATGCTGGTACATTTTGTGTTAAATTAAGGTAAGAAAACAGAAATGTAGGTACAGTACATTGTGTTAAAATGTGTTTAACTTCCTCTACATTCATAGAGGAAGCTGGACAACCTTAACTTTAAGAGCAATACACTATTTTATCTTTATTTTTGCTACACGAGACAACTACTGTGGTGTAACTAACGTGAGCAGCGAACGTCTCTTGTACCGAAACTGTGAGGCAAGTCAGACCGTCTGGTTTAAAAAAAAAAAAAAATGTAGTAACGTGGTGTCCAGAGCTGTTCAGCTGTGTTGTGGACAGTGAACACAACCTAGTGGCGCTGAAATGTTAACATTAACGTTTTGAAACTCAAACGAGTTCACTCATAAGCAGTGTTGAGAATTAACAACTAGACTATTGCACCTCAGCGAATCAGAGAGCCTGTGCCTCGTAAACTTTGTAGCTAGCGGATAATGGAGACACCAACAAACACCGTAACCGATAAGAATGGCCCCTTATTAAGCCAGGCTTAACAGAGATTGTTATCATGTCTACAGTTTAGGAGCCAAAAATATCATGAGAAACATTTCATAACAAATCGACTGTAGTAAGGTGGTTCGTTGTATCACGGTAGCTTAAAAACCACAGCCTGCTCGGAAGCGGAGCAACACTTACTGCCCCTGAGACGATTTAACGCGTTCAAACACACAATAGCATCCGTGTTCAAAACTTGGTTATAACCGAATCATAAACCGTTTGCAGAAAACTCACCGGCTTCGACGCTTTCATTGAGTGGAGCAGTTTCTTTTACGCCTCTACAAACTCTCCGCCATCTTCGGCAGGACGGTGTTTGTTTAAATGGGAAACACTCCCAGAGCGGAGGGAGCCAGCTTGTAGCGGAGCGATGGGACTTCTGGGTAATGTAGTTGCTTTCCTTGGCAATCCACATCAAACTGTTTGACACGTTCTGTAAATGAACTACACGTACACCAATACCCATAGGTGATATGAGCAGCAGTCACTGATATTATTAGAGGAGAGATTTATAAATGTATTTATAGGCTGGCAGAAAAGCAGCTTTATTCAAATGACTTATCATAACCATAATGAATCACTTTATTATGTTCTTCAGTATTTTTCACCAAAACTAAAGAATTGAAGATTGTTAAATATTCAACAGAACACAACTTCTGTTGAATAGCATTTGGAAATTATTTAAGGGCAGCGTGGACAGATAGTATGAGGCTTGACAGTTTTTTGTTTGTTTGTTTGTTTGTTTGTTTGTTTTTGTTTTTCCTGCAACTTTTATGGCAGTACAATGTAAAAAGCTGGACATTTTCCAGTATTGTTTCTCTGGGACATTATAAATGTCCTGGGAATTTGATGGGATCAAGAATGATGTAGGCCTATGATGTGGCCTGAACTAAGCAGGAATAAATGTAACTGTCAAATATTTATTTGCAATCATGATTTATAGGCTACTCCATATTGTTAAACAGAACACCCCACTCACTGCATCACATTTGACCTTTTAGTACCTTGCTATTATGCCAATTATAAAGTGCACTCACATACATGCCAACATGTGCAGAGTGGAGTGTGGAGTGACTGTGGAGCCACAGAGGATGGAAGGAACTGTCTCCATGGTGATCTCCCAGGCACACTAATGTTGAACTTTTTCTACTGTGGAGGGAGTTAGGTCCAAAGATGAAGGGAGAGCAGCAGGATACAAGTGAGGGGAGTGAAAAAGATGCAGTGTTATATACCGGGTAAATATTCTTTCCTGTCAGAATGTAATTCCCTGTACAATCAGCATATAAAACTTTGATGCGTAAAAAAATGAAAGGGTGTTTATGCAGAACTGAAATATCCTTACAGTTTATTTAGTTAATGCATAGCTGCTGATAAGGCAGTGAGGTTCATTAACCCTGTTGCAGCATTTTATCTTACCAATGACCAATTCAAGAAATTTACTCTGACTAAGCCAGTGTTGGCAAGACATAGTGTAGTCCCTGAAGTATTACACAGTTAGTAAATATGGAAAATAAGGAATGCATGCGTTTATTGAAATAATGAAAAAATATTGATGCAAACCTTGCTTGCATACAGATTAATCCAGATTTAGGTAGAATTCTTTCTAATGTTAGAGGATTCTTGATAATTCATTGCATGATGAAATTATCAAATTATAAAAGGCAGTGCGTATATTTGTTGTGTGTTTTCTGTTTGTGTGTGGCTGCATGAGAGAGCCTCAATTCCATTCCATGAAGATCCAAAGAGGGGCCCCGTGGCCCTCTGTTTGTACCCCCTCCCCCACAAAACATGGCAAACTGACCTCCCCCCTCAGTAAGTGTGAGACACTTTATCCCATCCCCACTTGCCCTCTCTACTCTGAAAGGACAGGAGATAACAGTTTGAAAGGACAGGAGATAGCCCCATAATCATTGATGTATTCAGATGGGTTTACCTGCAAACAGCTAACAGCATGCCTTTCTTTGTTCCAAACACATTCCCATCCCCCAACTTCTCAACACTATGCAAAAGAAATTAAGCAAAAACAAAACAAAACAAAAAAACAAACAAACAAGAAAACAAGATCTTGTTTTGTCATTATCAGTTATAACACAAGTTATAACCAAACAAAGAGACAGGGAGGAACATTTTTGAGATATCCTTTTCAAACAGCTTATACAATTACATGGGTACTTTTATTGGCAGATTAAAGAAAAGGTGCGGCCTACAGTCCCTTATATTGTTCGTCTAAATATCTCAAAGTTTACAGTTAAATTAAAACACACTGATTGTCTTATCAGTAGCTAGTGTTTATTTATTTTTCAAAAAGTACAGGAAAGCAGTATAAAAACATGAACATTTCTGATGTAATTTTTTCCGACTGGTGTATTCTACTCAACTGGACCAATCACTAAAGCACAATGAAAATAAATCATGTTAGACCTATAGGAGTAACTACATTTCTTACATGTTTTTTTTTCTTTCCAGAAGACAATGTAACTCTGATCCACAGCATATAATCTTTATAATCTATGGTTTGACTGTGTAAAATTGGAAACCCTTGACATTTCCCTTTTAAAATACCCAGAATGGCAACATTAACATTAGTCTGAAATTGTTTTTAATTCTTCAAGATTAGACAGTAAAGCATAAGATCATGTCACACGAAGCCTCTGGTAGATCAAAAACAGTATAAGTCTCGAGGAGTGGGTACAGAGACATCTTACTACATAACTTTCTGCAGGTTTAAGATTTTTACCCCTCTTAAATGGAAAAAAAACAAACAAAAACAGTGAAACAGCACTAGGAAGATTTACTTTACCTCTAGAATATACTGAGAAACAACAAACAAACAAAAAGCTAATGAAAACAAAACAAAAACACATTTACGTATATGATTGGTCTACTCAAGGCTTTGAAGCCAATGACTAGAAGGATTTTCAAGCAGCTGGTTTGAGCAGTGAAAGTCTGATTAGGGCGCCATCTTGGGGACGTCAGGGTTTGTTACCAGTCGGCGGCCACTTGAAAGGGTCACCGTCGCTGTCTGGACACCAAACGGTACAGTGGAGATTGACAAATGTGACACGATATAATTTGTATATAGCTAATATGTTATATGCGGTGTCAACAGAGTAATAATGTTATATCGGTAATGCAAGTCGGAAATGAACCATGTATTTTCACGACATCGTTATCTTAGTTATCCCTGTTTAGTCTTGGACATCTCAGGGCTAGCTCTTAATTAACATTAACTTTACTTATTAGCTGTTAACGTTAACAATAAGATAATTATGCAAATGTCAACTGGCGAGAGATGTGACAATGGATTTGCGTTGGAAACCCTCCCAGTTCCATAAGATAAATATAGTTGAAATTAGGAAGCGCAACGTTATTCCCAGTTAATTTAGTGTCAGTAATTTGACTACACACATTTAAGAATTGTGCATGTCTTTGAATCTTAGGTCACGCTAGCAATGGAGTTACACTAGCTAAACCCAAATAAGGCTAGCTAGCTTTATTATCTGCTAACATTAAGACGTTATGTCGTTATTAACCCATACAACCCACAGTCCACCGACTCTTTCCAAGGTCATTTCTCACATATTCAAAATTTAGAGCTGCTACTACAAATTTCAGAGACTTAACATCCCTTAACGTCATTTCACCATCTGTATTGTGCTGTCATGTGTCAGTGTGGCATTTACTCAGGGATTTACAATGTCTAAACCCAAGCAGTGATGCCCAAAAGCAACGTTGTATAACCATAACAGGTTCACATTATTTCAGATGGTTTGTGTCACAAGGCCTTGTTACAATAGGTATTACATGTTGATATTGTGTTCACACTTGGTACACTACTACTTACATGTGGTATTCTAGCATAGGGTTACTGATTTGACAAAATATCATTAAGATGCACTTTATCTCCTGCTGTGGACACTGTGCATGATTTGCATTTGAAGATGTGAACTGCCAATTAAAATAAACAATGAATTCTGGCGTATAATAATTTACCAACAGAGAAGCAATATGTTTCCCCCCTAAAACATTCCAACCCAATATATCTTGGATCAGCTTAAAGCAGTGATGCATGCCATGAATTTACAACAGAGGAATTTATATGTCTAAAGTAGTGAGTAACCTGTTCTGCAGCTGAATGTTCGGTAGATGGCTCTACTGTCCACTAAGTCACCAGTTCCATTTTTGTGTTGACAGTGAAAACTGAGCCTATGAGCTCATAAACCTTTACTATACAGGCTGGGGGACAATAGATACCACTAAATAACAATAGCAATAATATAACAAATCGGTGACCAATTTGTTTACAGGTAGTGTCAACCAAATGTCTTTGTTAACCGCTTTGTTTAAAAATACTTTTATTTTATTTAATATTTATACAACGTTTTATGTTCAGCCAGTTATTAACATTTGCATTCAATATTGCACAAATTAGAAAATTATGAAGTTTTAATAACACTTTTGGCACTGGTTTTCTCCCTCAGCCATTCAGAATACAGTTCTGTATTTTTAGCAAGACACTAATCCCTTCCTGCTGCAAGCTGTCTCTGTGCTAATCGCTCTGTAGTTCATGCAGTATGTGTATAGGAACTGCACATTACATTCACATCAAACGTCACAATGGGGAAAAACATGTGATCTCAGTGTCTTTGACTGTGGCATGATTGTTGCTGCTGGATGGACTGGTTACTGAAACTGATGATATCCTGGAATTTTCAAACACAGCAGTCTGTAGAGTTTTTACTCAAATGGTGCAAAAAAAAACATCAAGTGAGCAGCAGGTCACATGCAGAAACTTGTTGCTTGTTGATGAGAGAAGTCAGAGGAGAACGGACAGGCTGGTTGGATCTGACAGAAAGGCTTCAGTAAGTCAGATATTTACTCTTTACAAGTGTGGTGATCAGAAATTAATCTCAGAATTAACATATTTGTTTATTGGGCTACAACAGCAGAAGACCACTCCTGTCAGCCAACAACAGAGATCTGAGGCTGCAGTGCGCATAGAATCACCAAAACTGGACAGTTGAAGACTGGAAGAATGTAGCGTGGTCTGATTAATCTGATTTTTGCTGAGTCACGCAGATTGTAGGGTCAGAGTTTGGGGTCAACAGCATGAATCTATTGACCCAACCTGCCTTGTGCCAACAGTTCAGGCTGCTGGTGTTGGTGTAATGGTGTGGGGAATGTTTTCTCGGCACACTTTGGATCCCGTAATACCAGTCAATAATTATTTAAATGCCACAAACTATCTGAGTATTGTCTAATGAGTATTTCCAGCATAACAATGCACCATGTCACAAAGCAACAGCCGTCTCAAACTGACTTCATGAACATGACAATGAGTTCAGTGAACTTCAGTGGTCTGCCCAATCACCAGATCTGAATCCAGTGCAACACCTTTAGGATTGTGGCAGAACAGGAGATTGGCAGCATTAATGGGCAGCTGACAAATATGCAGAAATTGCGTGATACAGTCATGTAAACATGGAGCAGAGTTTCAAAGGAAAGTTTTCCAACATGTTGTGGAATCCAAGCCACCAGGAACTGAGGCTGTTTTGAGAACCATGGGAGGCCCTACCCAGAATTAGTATGGTGTTCCTAATAAAGTGCTCTGTGTGTGTATGGGCATATTTGAAGTGTGTAACTAAAGCCAAAGATTATTTATGAAACTTTATGAGAAACAATAGCTTCTGTGTGTCAAAATGAAACTCATATAGGAGATTTCTAACAAATTGCTGCAAGTGAAAATAAAGGGGATTATATTAAAAAAAAGCTGTGCTGACATTTGCCTACATGGCGCTTCTTCTAGCATGGTAAAAAATGCATTTTCAAAAACACAGTCCTAAGTTATCTCAACATGTTTTAATGACGTTAAGATAAGCTCTTATGTCTCAAGATGTTCATTAGGGAATAAAGAAAACTCATTTCCAAAATAGGGCAAAGTTACAATAAATGCAGGAGAACTGTACTAACAAAATAATGTGAGGTATAACACATTTTCATGTAAATCATTAAATCTTGTGAAAATATTTTTGAATCTTGCCCCATGGTGGAATGATACAACAGAAAAGGAGAGTCATTGTTTCTTTAACAGTATATTCTTGGCCTGGAAACACATTGTTATCATGTGATCACACCAGTTCAAAGGCCAGAGTCAGGCAAAAAAACACGACTGTAATTTAGTCTGCTTTTTTAACATTGTCATCAAACCTTTAGAGAACAAAGAAACAGTGCATTTCATTTAGTAACTGTTTACTCAGTCTGACTATTCCTTTTATTTGTATAGCAGTTTTTTAATCTTTCCCACGATGTTTAGTTTAACTTGAGGGTGGGAACTACAGAGACAAATTCCTCCATAAGCATACTGCCTCAGGTCGGTTCTCTATGTACACATCTGCTGACTACCCTTCACAGTTACACCACAGGCCGGCTCTATAGCATGTTTATGAAACAAAAAGCTGTATGCAGTCTTCTTGGCAGCTGATCGGTGTACAGTGGTAGATTATTTTGATCTGGGCCTAGCTCCTCTTGTTCTGAGTACTGCGTTTCAGCTTGCCTGTGCTGAACAAAAGACAAGAAGCCAGGAAATGCACTAGCCAATCAGCAGCAGCCTTACATTTTGTCAGCACGCGTGGCCACTCTCAGTGTGCCTTATATCAGAGCAGTGAGTTGGACAGCTTGGAGAGCCGTGGCTATGCTCTGAGCAGGGTGAGGGCTGACAGGGCTGTCCTCCATGTTTTAATAAGCATTGACATATCACACAGAGTTTTTAGCCATGCATCCACAGAGGTAAGCCTTATTTTGATTCTTTCACATATTCTGCTCTGTTGATAAGGCACCAGCCACTGTGTGTGATCCGTGCCTGAGTACTAATACATGTTTGTCTGACAGACTGGGGGAGGGGGAAGAGTATTTGTCACCCCACAGCATAGAAGTGGAGCTTGGAAAGAGAGCATAGCATGGTACAGTACAACAGACTGCCTCTGCTAAGTGGGTGGCTGTCTGAACACGTACAGTAGAAGGCCACAGGTCAAGTGTAAGGTCACTGTATATTCACAGAATACTGACTGAGAGAACATGCTTTGTTTTGTCAAGATTAAAAGAGGACTGAGTTTTTGGTGCTTCCCCTGGCCTGTGCTGTCAAGATGGCAGGCCTGGTGAGGGATCTAGGCGGGATGGGAGAGACAGGGAGCAGTGCAGAGGGGAGTCCCCAGAGGAATTAACAGATGGTAAACTGACAGCACAGCAAGTTTAATTTAGGCCTCAAACTGGCATGAGAGAGCAAGGCAGCAGGGCACTGATGTTAATTGTTTGCCAGACGAATGAAGAACAGACTGTAAAACTGTCTAGTTGCCTAATTTTGCTACACCTCACCCAAAATCTAGTTCCCCTCACCAAAATGCCCATATTACTTGGTGAAAAAAAAACATGCTTTTTACATCCCTAATCCTGTAAGCTGCTCACCAGTTTTCTAAAATACCAATTATCTACAGACTAAATATGCCATAGCAGCTTATTTATCACAGGGTTGGAGGAACTGCCTGAGCCTAATGGTGTGCACTGCCTCCCAGTGTTGTTCTCTGCTGCCGAGTGTCAGCCATTTTAGAGAGCTTCCCCTTTCTGTCCCTCTGCTCCAAGCACACTGGGTATTTGTATGTAAGAGAGAAGGAAAGAAGAAGGGAAGGACTTCCTCTGAAAAGGCTCTGCATAGAAACCTCATCTCATCAGAGAGGCTTGAAAACCTGTTTGAAGTCGACAAGGTTTGATTGAATTCTGTTTATATGTAATGATGGTGTTGGTTTTCTGTGTGCATGAATCAGTTAAACATCATTCAGTTTAGTTCATGATTGTATCTATTTCAGACAGTTTCTCAATATTGTTGTTCTTGAACATTTGATATATTTCAGGTGGAATATGTGATATGTGTTTTGTCAATATAAGTGGATGAGGTCTGACAAAGGTTTTGTTTTAAATATATCCAGGGGAACTATGGCCTGGATATAATGGTGCACATAATGTTGCTTGACCAGGGTTCAGGAGCTGCCTGCAGTCACTGAGACAGCAAATCCCCCTCAGTGTTTTCTGAATGGTGCTTGGTAATGCGTTTAATCCCCTCATTCCACTATGGTGTGAGGAATGGTGTAGGCACACTTAAATCTGCATTACACTGACACAAACAGTCTGTTTAGTTTGGTGTCTCAGAAATACCCACCAGCTGACCTTGGACTTGCCCAGATTATCTAGTCGGCCTTGACGTTTTGACCAAGATTTGCTTCTGTTTTGAGGGATGAGTTGTACTGAGTTGTACTTTTTTTTCACCAATGTGTTTGAATTGTGGTGCATTGTTTGTATTCGTGCTTCAAGGTTCTATATTGATTAAATAAAATGGCTATAGTCGGTCAAACTGAAAGACGGAAAAAGGTATAGCTTTGCTCTCCGTTATATATTATTTTTCAGCTTACTGTTGCTCACATTCAAATCTCCAGGCAGATATTGATTATGAGGCAGTACATGCTGAAGAAGAAGTGGATCGAGAGGGAGAGATTTACGCCTTCCACACTATCTGGGAGGCCTGTGACATTTTCAGTCCTGTCTTTGTGTCCACTATTAGGGCCCATGCTGCATATCAACATGCTGGGGTACATAATAAGCTGCATGTGGTCCTTTATAGCAGATTTGACTGATGCTCTGTGTATGTGTTGTGTGTGTGGTGCACACAGTGGTCAGGGAGAGAGAGAGTCTTCAAAATGGACGCCATACACATACACTGGCTGAGAGCACAGCGAGGGAGGGAATCTGATCCTCTCCCTGTCTAGCCCGTAGAGCTACATATTACATGTCTGATAAAAGGCACATGGCTGGTATATTTCTGTATGGGGTTTTAAGGGAGTGAGAGACTTGGTTTTCAGTAGGTTTTAGCAACAGCGAGGAGCAGTCCTCTCTGCATTGCAGCACTGTGGCTGAGGAGAGCGGGGAGAAGAGAGCCTGTGTGGCACACTGAGGCTGAGCACCCAATCAGGCATCTCCGTGTGGTGCTCGAGCCAATCGGCGGTCTGCAGCCGAGGTTAAAGATTGACAATTGCAGGAGAGAGCAGCAGGGAGAGAAGGCCTTCTGGGAAACCTGGACCCATCTTTTCCCTCATCCCCCAACGCCCTCAATAATTGAAAAAGATTAAAGAATAGGCTGAAGAGTCTGTATGTGAGTAAGGAAAAAGGTATGCTGTTGATTTCCTACATTGAAGCATGAATGTAATGGAAATGGTGGGTGTGGGAAGGGATGTTTTAGCAGGTTACAATAGGCTGTATTGTGTGCTCTGTGCTCTTTGATTTGAAAATGTTTGTGTCAGGATGGGCAGCATTGATTTTCCTCCTCGTCCCTGTCCATGTCTTTCTCTTTGCCTCTTGTTGCTGTATTTCCTGGCAAGGACAGGACAGGATGTTGCTGGGGTAGATTGTCTGAGGCTGTCCAGACAGCTTAGATGAGGAGGCCAGTAAAGCCATTTCACTGCACTCCTGCCTATGTCTGCAGACTGGCTGTGTTTCTGTCTGTCATTTCATCCTTATTTAGTGATGGAGGAGGAGGGGTGCGGGGGTTGATGAACAAAATAATTGAAATGGAAGCAGTATTTTTGTTTTCAGTGAATTACTTTTTTTAATCACACAATACTTTAAAATGATGCTTTGCTCAGGAGTAAGTGAAATGAAAATTGGCAAAATTGAAGCCATCTGAACAGTGAGGCCGGTGCATCTGCTGTGGCGTCAGAGAAAATGGCAACAATAATAGGATCGACAACAGGGCGCCTGCAAACCAAGGTGAATCATGTTGAAGTGATACTGAGAATAACCTGTTGGGCAGATTTTCAATAAAAGGTGATTCACAGCACGTTGTCATTGATGTCAGAAGGTTCAGACACTGTAGATTGTGCTGTTCTGTGTTCTCATGTTTACTATTTATAGACCTGTGGCCGGTGGAGAAAGGAGCCTGCTGTTTATAATCTGAGAATGGCTACGCATTGAGCTGCCATTGCTCTAGTATTGGTTAACTTTTGCTTTAATTGTGGATGAGATATTTTTTTATCATTCGGGAGATGTGCATGTGTTGCCTTCAAGCTGTTGATGTGGTTTGTGTGATGTAATTGTTGTATTATCAGTATTTTCAGCCATGATGGTTTTCATACAGTGTAATCTTACACTTACTTATTTTGTGATAATTTTTGATGTGAATTTCAGCAAAAACAGATGTTTTTGTCAACTGCACACAGTGCTGGTGGGATCAGAATTTACAAGTCATTTTTCAGTATTTCACCATCCCGCATTAGAAATAGTGATTTGAAGATGTGTTTTAATATACATTTTTACAGAAGAGTTATGATGCTTCTGTTCCAAGCTGGGCGCCGCATATCTAACCAGAATTATATTAGTGTCAAGAGAGAGCCTGTTGGCAAAACTGACCTTTCTTGTCTAGAGCAACTGTAAGGTAGTAGGATGAGGGGAACGTATTAACAGTTAAAGACTGTTTAATATCAGACCTCTGCAGGAATGTATTACAGTCTTAACACTGAAAACTTTTCGAGGGTGCTTATTTTCTGCCTTTATCTGACAGAGTACCATAGAAAGCTGACAGGAAATGAGGGGCTGACATTTTAAACCCCTTGGTCATCAGGATACCCCCATTATAGCATAATTGTAAAGAACATGTTGTTCTAAGGAACAATTTCAAATAACTTTTTTTTTAACTTAATGATATAGCATCAATAATAGATATGAGACATCTTCAGCTATAGGTTATATTTGACTGTCAAACCTTTGACGATAATCTTTTCTGCATCAGTGTGGCAGAGGAAGAGGGAAAAGAGACAACAGAAGGAATGGAGATCTCAACACGATCCAAAGGTAACATACCATACAAGTTTGTTTTCAAATAGGTTGGCAAAGCTTTATTTCTATTCTTATGAAATGCTGTGATTTGTAAAGTGGTTTTGTTTTGGTTATTTTGGTTTTACATTATACAGTATGCCACCATGTTTACTCATGTACTCAGCCAACTGTGTGAGTACAGGAAACCTCTGGTGTGCCATTTCTGGTATTTGTTTCTGCTTTGAAGAGGCCATGAGTGTGCTCTCCGTGGTCTGTGTAATCTCTGAGTTTTGTCCGCAGTTTCAGACACAGCGTCAACAGAGCGGATGGCCCAAAAACGAAAGATGCCGAGTCCCTCTCACTCATCGAACGGTCACTCCTCTGCTGAAACATCCCCATGCCCAATGAAAAAGAAGAAGAAACCTGGTGCTGTTAGCAGCAGCAAAGACCAGGTAACAATCAAAGCAAAACCACAATCCAGATGTAAACAAAAGGGTCGCACCAGCCCCACTCCCAAAGAACAGGATTATACCTGCTATCACACACAAACTGATTGATATTCAGACTTACACCACACAAAAACTTAATAATTCACAAAAGTTAATATTATTTTTTTCGATGATAAACTTATGAGATTCTTTTTCATCATCAAGCAGTTGAGCTCTTTAATGAAAGGTGTACGGTTACAGAAAATACACATTAGACCTTTAATCTATCCTAATTAAAGGGTCAGTTCAGTCAACTCCCTAAGAACGTACTTTGCCTCTTGCCCTCAGTAGCACTAGCAAGCTAGATGTTTTTGGTTTGTCAAAAAACCTGTCAAAAAAACTACTTAGATATTTATACTATCATTATATATTAATACTAATTATTAGCTTAGCTTGGCATTAAGCTGATTATGGTACATCCAGACCTTCAGGAAATTATAATTGTAAGTGTACTGATATGATCTATAGCTTGGGTGTAGGTGTCGACAGAGCTCATTTACAGCATTTGCAAAAGTATTTATTTGTTCAGATACCACAACTAATACTTTAAAAGACACAATCATAATAAACATCATTTTGCTGTGGTGAAAAAATGGTTGGTTGTGATCAGTAATTCATATTCTGTCAATATTTTAAGGCCTGTATTAATTCAGGGTAGGTTCACTGAGCATGAATGCTATTTTGCAGGAATGCCTTGCCACATCAGCACTCATTTCACATAGTTACATGCATCCAAACCTGGAAGATGCCCAGTACAAACAACTATTAGTCACTGAGCAGCTCCACTGGAGCATAAGCTCTTTAACTTGAATTCATTACATTTATTGTAAAAAGTGCTATGTTTTGTCTGTAGACTTTTTAATCCTTCTTAAATTACCCCCTCTGCCCTTGACTTTCACCAGTGGTCTAGAGTTTGCTCCTAGGATGGGACAAAGTGATTATATGACATTATTTCTATATCAGTAGCACCTTATGTTCTATTGTGATACTGAAGCAGAGGTATTTCTTTCATTTATCCAGACAATTTAGCTCTGAACTTTTCTATTTTGGTAGTTCAGACCTGAAAGAGTCATACTGCTTATTTCCAACTCTGTTATAAATTTGATTCCTCCCTCTATCAGGGGCTAAATATGTTGGTGGAATTACAATAAACCATAAGTTACCTTGTGATTTCAACCTCTAGTCTACTCCATTTAGCTTTAATTCTTGAGGTTTTTGATGCACAGTATATTGTGAATTGTAAAATGGTAATTAGCTGTATCCAAAGCGCTTTACAATTACTTCTTACTTAACATTGTGCAGTATAGCCTATTAATGTGTTATGTTCTGTACTATTATACAGTGTTATGTTTAGGATTGACATATGAATAAACATTGTTGATGTATATACTTTAGGTAATTGTTCAATCTTATTGACCACTAATGATAACATAAATTCAGTGTTCAGATTATCACTCAGCATTGACATTTCCAGAGCTTTATACTCTGTTTGAGGACTTAGTACTGAGTTCTGAGGAAATGCTATCTCTGCATCACTAATTAAAAAAACTGCTTTTTTAAAGCAATCTGAGAAAATCACATGATTACTTATGTCATATCTTTCAGCTTGTGTTTTTTAGGTGCATGCTTTGTTGCCTTTGTGCTTAAAGCAGTTCACAAATGCACAATAGGTAAATTATTTCTAGTATCATACACTTGGCACATTAGGTTGTCCTTTGTAAATGATTAGTTGCCACTGTACCTATCTGAGCTTTTGTCAGTTTAATCAAGGCTGTCCACACTGTTTACCCTCCTGCACATTGGTGATGGTTGTGTCCTAAACACAGACTGAAATCACAGGACTGAGCAAGTCATATGACTTAGAATAAATATATAGACCTTTTGTCTGTTGATGTCATTTCTATCACAAGTTTGAAAACAATGCGATGTTGACTATTAAATCTCCACTGTTACAGCATACTCATGTACCAGCAGTGAGAGTGTAACAATTGTACTTTATCAGGGCTCACAGCAGTCTGTGTTGTGGACTTCCTGACTTTAATGTACCTTTTGTTGATTTTGTGCATGTCTGCTTGGCTTTTCTAATCTCTGGCCTGATTTTGACCTTCCCCAACTTTGTGTTTCTTTTGCCTGCATTCCAGTCAGAACTAAGACATGGTCCCTTTTACTATGTGAAGCAGCCAGCACTCACCACAGACCCTGTTGATGTTGTACCGCAGGACGGCAGGAATGACTTCTACTGCTGGCTGTGCCACCGCGAGGGCCAGGTGCTCTGCTGTGAGCTCTGCCCCAGGGTGTACCATGCCAAGTGCCTCAAACTACCAGCCGAGCCCGAGGGCGACTGGTTCTGTCCGGAGTGTGAGGTATTCACCCAGGACTGTGCATAGTGTGTGGGTGTTGGGAACATATTTCGAAGCCTGTGGTCAATACCTATTGTAATATTTGTTTAATTATGCAATATAATGGGATATAAACAAAGTGTTCAACTCGTTTCCTCTTGATGTCTTTTAGAAAATAACAGTTGCAGAGTGCATAGAGACTCAGAGCAAAGCCATGATGATGCTAACTATAGACCAGCTGTCTTACCTACTAAAGTTTGCCCTTCAGAAGATGAAACAACCAGGTGTAAGTATTCTGGGCCCTCTGTTTTTATAGGAAATTCATGCTACCAAACTAATTATACAGTATTAGGGCACGTAGCTTTGTCACAGATGGGTTACTCTGCTTATTCTCATTTAAATTTCTGCCTTTTCTAACTTCGTACTTCAGATTTATCACTTGGATATTGGCATGTGATCTTTTCTGGCAGTCTTGATTTTGAGATTGCTTTTGCAACCAAAAGACACTCCTTTTTTCTGATCATCGTATTCCCATCAGTTGTGCTAGATAATATCTGCACCCTGATGTATAACCTGTCCACATACAGTATCTGTCCAGCATGATATATTATCGATTCGCATGTGCTAATGATGTCTAATAACAGAACTAACAATCACAGTCATTGTGCTATAATGGGCCTGTCATGGCTGGAAACCATGAAGGTAAACATGCTAGCTGGTGGTGAGGATACAGCTGCCCCTCTCACTCTCTTTCAGGATCATCCCCGCTTGTCATCTCGCTCCCCCCATGCAGCTTCCACGCAGAGAAAGACTTTTAATTGGGTAATCAATTACACCACTAACAAGACCCCGTCATGATTTTCTCCTCCACTGGTTTTCCTCCTTTTGTTTGAAGCGGCTTTTAGAGTTTTAAGTAGTAGCATAGTGGTAGCATGTTGATGTGCGGTAGAGGGGAAGGTTGTGTAGTTAGTTTGGCCTGAGATTTTGTTTACGTTCACACTTTTTTTCTTTCTACTCAATTTTATAGACTGAACCCTTCCAGAAACCTGTCTCTCTTGAACAGCATCCAGATTATGCAGAGTACATTTTTCATCCTATGGATCTTTGCACACTTGAGAAGGTACAACAAAAGCTGTCACACATTTATTTATTTGAAACGATAAATATAGAGAAGTTGAACAATATGGGAAATGAGCATCTTTTCATTTTGCACTGCAGAATATCAAAAAGAAAATGTATGGCTGCACAGAGGCCTTCTTGGCAGATGCGAAATGGATTTTGCATAACTGTATTATATACAATGGAGGTATGTTGCATATTCTTGGCACCATATGAAAATGATCTTGTAAGGCTGGGTGATATGAATGAATATTGTACTATTAATAAGAGTATTTTTTCCCAATATTGGTATATATCAAATATGGTGTATTCAAAATCATATAAGATGGTTAAGATTAATGTTCAATTAAATTTACTACTATACTTCAATGTCAAGAACTTATTTTGTCAGGTTTTAATTATTTTCTCAAAATCACTAATATGGATAACATGATATGATCATAACAATACAATTCCACTGACAATTGGCAATAATGTTGAATTACCACTTTGTCTAGTCTGTATATGAAGAGTTTAACTCAAATGTATATCCTTGTTTCAGGCAATCACAAACTGACAGCTACAGCTAAAGTAATAGTAAAAATCTGTGAACATGAGGTGAGTCTGTGTCAGAAAAGAGTTTATATTTAAGCCAAATTTGTATTTGTTAATTAATTTAAGACAGTAGAAATGACAGCTGAAACTCATTTTTCACTTTTTGTTTTTTTGCAGATGAATGAGATTGAAGTTTGTCCTGAGTGTTATCTGTCTGCTTGCCAAAAGAGAGACAACTGGTTTTGTGAGCCTTGTGTAAGCTAGTACAGTAACTTGAAGTTTCTGTTGATGATTCCACCAGATTGTTTACCCATTCAAACATAAATCACTGGAATACATCCACTTAGTTCCAGTGTTTTACTGTATGTCTGCAGAGTAACCCACACCCTCTAGTGTGGGCCAAACTGAAAGGATTTCCATTCTGGCCTGCTAAAGCTCTGCGGGACAAAGATGGACAAGTGGATGCTCGTTTCTTTGGTCAACATGACAGGTATCAGCCCTTTGTGCTTCAGTTACTCTGGCTCAGAGGCACTTTTTTAGGTTTTTCTAACAATTATGATGTGATTTTTTTGTCCTTCAGGGCATGGGTTCCTTTAAACAACTGCTACCTCATGTCCAAAGAGATTCCATTCTCTGTGAAGAAGACCAAAAGCATCTTCAACAGTGCCATGCAAGAGATGGAAGTCTATGTGGAGAACATGAGGAAGAAGTTTGGAGTGTTTAACTATGCCCCCTTTAGGACACCCTACACTCCTGACAACAACTTCCAGATGCTGCTAGATCCCTCCAACCCCTCGTCCACCCCAGTCAAATCTGAGAAACAGGAGAAGATCAAGCTGAGCTTTGATATGACAGCATCACCTAAGATCCCTTTGGCCAGGACCATGTTGTCTGGGGCTGGGGTGGGAGCTGGCACCGTTGGGCGACGGTTCCCTCTCAGTGACATGCCTCGCTCCCCCATGAGCACCAACTCCTCTGCTCACACCGGGTCAGATGGCGAACAGGAGACAGCAGACAAGTCGCAGGCCAAAGGCCCAAACAGCCAGTACAGTGCAGGAGAAGAGTCCATGGACTGTACAGGTATTCCACCAGACACATTTTAGTATAGCAACAAGTATGTTGTGTCTAATGGGAGAAGGCTTGATTTAAAAGTAAATATTTTTGAACAGCATCACCTGCCCATCCACGACCTGGTCCTGCAGGCAGTTCATTGGACAGCCCTAAACCATTCCACTCTCAAGCTCCTGGCCTCGCCAAGCAGGAGAAGACACCACAGACAGGAAGCATTCTGAACCTCAATTTAGGTGAGACTTTAATTCCAAGTGTGTAATATGCATTCAAGTGTTTAATAATGTCCATTCTCTATGAGTGAATACAGGTCACTATGGGACATGATTCTCCTAGAAATTATGAATTGTAATGAACAAAGAAAAAAGATCTTTCTCTTGTGCACATATTGCTGTTTGAAATTATTGTACATTGTATTCTTCCAGATCGGAGCAAAGCAGAAATGGACCTAAAAGAGCTCAGTGAAACAGTTCAGCAGAAGCAAGGAGCCACACCAGTCCTTACTTCTCCAAAAAGACAGATTAAGAGCCGTTTCCAGCTGAACCTGGACAAAACCATTGAAAGTTGCAAGGCACAGCTGGGTCAGTACCGAAGAAATTGAAAGAATGTACAGAAAACAGACATTGCTGATTTATTTATTTGCTAAGGAAACACATTTTGGATAGAATGTGTCTGTTAATATGATGTCATCATATGATTATATCATTTTGTCCAGTTCTAAAACATGTTGACTAGCCATGTAGTATCCTCCCTTCTCCTCTGCTCTGCAGGTATCGATGAGATCTCTGTGGATGTGTATAAAGGTGTTGAACACAGTGACTCAGAAGACTCTGATAAATCTGACTCGAGTGACAGTGAGTATGCCAGTGATGATGAGCAAAAGACCAAGGATGGCCAGGACGCAGCACCAAATGATGAAGCCCAGAAGGACCCTACCAAAACTAAAGTCAAAGACCAGGCTTCCCCAAGCCAAGATAAGGAAGGTAAAGCTGATACACCTGTGGCATCTGAGTCGGCAGCAGCTGATGCCACTGCAACAGTATCAGATGCTCCAACTAAGGAGAAAACAAGCTCTGATTCAGAGAAAGAGAGCCCAGAGAAGACCAAAGCACCTCCAGCATCACCTGCTCCCAGAGAGAAGTCTCAGGTGAAAGAAGAAGCAAAGCAGCCAATGCCAGTGGAGGACTCTGACTCTGAGAGGGAGCTGGTCATCGACCTTGGAGAGGAACAGGGAGGCAAAGACCGGAAGAGGAGCAAGAAAGAAACAACCCTTGCTAAAGAATCACCTGCTGGTAAAACTGAAGGTGAGAATTGTAATTTTCTCACCTCATCCCATGAGAAATAAACACTGAATGTTATGTCACATAGAAACATCAGCAACTATGAATAATGTGGGTACTTTTTTCCTTAGGCAAAGCCCTGACCCCATCCACTGTCCCGTCTCAAAGCAGTGCAGCTCTTTCCACACCCTCCAGTGTTTCCACACAGTCCTCAATGGCCATTCCCGTCACCATGGTCTCCTTCACTACTCCCTCTCCCGCAACCATAAGTCTTGCAACTGTGTCCAGTGCCACAGCAACACCCCCCTCCTTCCTCATCCTCCTTCCCTCCGCCTGCCTACCTCCTCCTCCTCCTCTTTGACCTCCACAACTCCAGCTTTGAAGAAACAGCGCCCTCTGCTGCCCAGAGAGACAGTGCCAGTGGTGCAGAGAGCTGTGGTGTGGAATCCCACTGCCAAGTTTCAGACTTCCTCACAGAAGTGGCACATGCAGAAGGTGCAGCGTCAGCAACAGAACCAGCAACCTGTGGCAACCACCCAAACTCAGGCGTCGTCACCCAGGCAAGGCCAGACCCAAGCGGTGACCCAGACACAGGCGGGGAACGTCTCGACAGCGGTATCCTCATCTTCAGCACAGCAGTCTTCACAAAGCACACGCTATCAGACCAGACAGGCTGTCAAAGGTAGATAACATGGTTTTAGCCACAAGTACGAATTGACTTAGAGTGTGGGCCAAATGTTGTGTACAAATGTTTGAGACCCATGGTGTGTACAGTATATATGTGAAATAAATCATCAGTTGGAATATTACCAGTTTTAACTCCACAGCAACCTTTGTACATGTGAAATATTTCATCAGTTTGTCCATAATGATGTTGTTGATTAATAGCTTTTTTTTTTTTATTCTAGCTGTTCAACAGAAAGACACTCCACTTAGCACGTCCACATCCGCTGTCACCCTGGTATCCAGTAGTCCAGCTTCTGCTGCCATGATGGCAACGTCAAGTCTAGGCACAGCTGCTTCATCTTCACCAGTGGCAACAGACCAGTATATCCCCACGGCGTCAGCGGATGTGGCTGCAGACATCGCCAAGTACACAAATAAAGTTAGTATAAGTTTTTATGTAGCTTTTAAGCTACACATTTTTGACTGCCACACTGAATGAATTTAAGGAATACAAGGTGAAAAACTGCCGGTTCATATATTAATCTTGTCCATTCATATATTATTGTGGTCTCTTTTTCAGATAATGGATGCAATCAAAGGTACAATGACAGAAATCTACAATGACCTTTCCAAGAGTACTTCAGGGAATACAATAGCAGAGGTAGGAACTTACTCTCAGCCTTTCAGACACCAGCCCCTTTTACACAGCCTGTTCAAGGCGGGAATGTTGCGCCTTTATTTCACCTCGCTGTTCTGGATAAAAGGTATGAACACAAAATGAGTGCCTTTATGCTGGCAGTGCAGGTAGTCACAGAGCTGGATTGACATCTCTGTAAAAGGGAGAGTTAGCATGTTGGAACAGACGCTGACCTTTTGTGTTACACATCACCCCTCTGATTCCAGAATGATGGCACGCTATCTAAAATCACACTCTGATGCAACATTATGCAGGCTTTGGTTGGTTCAGTAAAACAAGCAAAGGTGGCATGATGAGGGGCTACTAAGTATGACTGAGATCATAACGGTGGCTTTGCATATGCCCCTTTACTTACCCCGGCATGCCCATGTGTTTTTCCTACAGATAAGACGACTGAGAATCGAAATAGAAAAATTACAGTGGTTGCATCAACAAGAGTTGTCAGAAATGAAGCACAATCTTGGTGAGACTTGGGGAATGTGTAAAAAATATGCATATGCAATTTGCATCTACATGTCTTTTCCCAAAACAGTGTAATTAGTTCTACTTGGGCTCAATCATGTTTGTGTATTTCAATTTAGAGCTGACGATGGCAGAGATGAGACAAAGTCTGGAGCAGGAGAGAGAGAGGTTGGTGACAGAGGTGAAGAAACAGATGGAGCTGGAGAAGCAACAGGCAGTGGATGAGACAAAGAAGAAGCAGTGGTGTGCTAACTGCAGGAAAGAGGCCATCTTCTACTGTTGCTGGAACACCAGCTACTGCGATTACCCCTGTCAGCAAGCCCACTGGCCAGAACACATGAAATCCTGCACTCAGTCAGGTAACAGCACGTGCCAGCATCAACATGCTGTTGATGACATTCACACAAACAAGGACTATTCTGTCTGAATGTCTCCTTTCCTTTGCTTGCCTGTATAATCGCCAGCCACATTACTACTAACATTTTCATAGATGTAATGCATCTTTTTCACTTTTGCTCTATTTGTAGCCACAGCCCCACAGCAAGAACCTGAGGCTGAGTCCACAGCAGACCTCCCAAACAAAGGGTTAGGGCAGACTAGCAGTGGCCCAAACCCTCTCAGAGACACGCCAGTCTCTGCACCACCAGACAAAGACTGTGACGTGGAGAAGAGTACTGACAGTGTTGCTGTCACTTTGTCATAACGCAACTTACCATACTTGAAAATGTAAATGTATATATTGTTTTTTCACTACAAGGATATGTGCATGTAAATTGTTCTGTTCAAGCGGTTATTAAGGGAGCAATCCAAATTATTTTTATTTTTATATTTTTGTTTGCCTTTCTGGGCTCACATACTGCCCCCAGTTCACATGGTCTTTGAAGCATTTTAAATGTAGAAACAAGACTGGCAGCAGATAGTTAGTAACCACTAGAGGGGGTAGTTTAAAAAATGTATACTGCATATTCATGCACTTTGTTGCAGTCTATAGAGAGTTGTCGGTATAAAGATCTTAAGAGCATGCTTGAGTGTCACAAAACATACACATAGTGTAAAGGACAACAGTTTAACAGTTTCAAATTGCAAAAATGTAAACCATGTTAATGGACCACCTCAGTTTTAGATTAGAGGACTGTTGACAGGAATGTCTGTAAATGACTTATTTTGTATTCTATGTTAATTTATTTGTTATTCTAATGTTGCCTGCTGTATACTGCAAAGAAAATAACAAATACAAACATTTTAAATGAGCTGTTTCTATGGATATACTGTGGTCTAATTAGTTATGAAGCAGTCTGCAATCAAATAGCATAGGTTCAATTTCATTTGTAGGTTGAGTAGGTAAGCAGTGTTTAATCAGACAACTTAATTTCTGAAACTCAATTTCAGATAATACAGTCTTGAAAATGTGTTGCTCTCAGACAGCAACTGTAACAGCGGTAGCACGTTAATATTTGTGAACTCTGTATATCGGAAGTCCTGAAGAAGAGGTTTATTAGGGCAATAGACTAAATACAGGTTTAAGAAGTGTGTGTGTGTGTGTGTGTGTGTGTGTGTGTGTGTGTGTGTGTGTGTGTGTGTGTGTGTGTGTGTATGTGTATGTGTGGGTGTGTACGCCTGAGCCAACAAACCCATCATTGTTGCCTGTGCTCGCTCAGTATTCCTCCTATCCAGTGGGGGCGCTGTACAAGCGCTGAGTGTATTCTGTAAACCGTCAGCCATCTGCCGCAGTCAGTTAGCTCCAGCGGGAATGGAAAATGGAGGATTGACCGAAGAAAGAGCGAGGGCATATCATCGGTATTTCTAGCGCGTAGGTGGGTAGAATGCAACAATTTAATGTTTAAGTTGTGTCGCGTGGAATTTTTGTGGGATTCGTTCGTGTCTCAGTTTTTGTCATACTGCTAGGTTTGTCCTACTCCAGGTATCCGAGGCGAGGTTGATCATGATGTGCCTGACGTTAGCTTAAACGTTAACGTGTTTACAGTAAAACTGCGCTGATCCATTAGACTCTGTTCAGTCAAATGGGTTAGTTAAACATGCTTCTTGCAATAGGTCTCTTTTAGATCCATTTTAAGTTATTGCATCTTCATCGTTTTTGAGTCATCTGAACAGCTAATTGCTACAGGTATATCCTGCCGCTAACACATCCATGCTCGTGGTGGCTAATAGCGTGAGCCAGGCGGCTAGCTACAAGTGCACGTTTTGCAACGGTTGGTCCCTTGGTTTGAAAGGAAACGGTAAACTACGATAACACATAACTGAAACACGCAAATGTGTGCTTATTGTTATACGCAGGGTTTTCAAATGTACCCAGTCAAATAATTCTGCACATTTTGTGCGTATTGATCACGTTAGCTAACGGTAAATAAGCTAGCTGTTCTTGAGTGGTTAGGTTGGCTTTGCGGCCATCATCAGCAGTGGTGGATGTGAAGTATTTTTAATATGTCGTAGTTTGTTGTGTGATCTCTTTGGTGCTGTTTGGCTTTTTCGTGCATACATAGGGGATTTGATGATGATACGAGTGATATCGACGCGTGGTTGTGATATGGAATTAAGAGTTATATCATGCGCATTACGGCCGTGTGTAGCTTCCCTCTTTCCGTGTCGAGCAGCAACCGTTATACCTCAATACGTCTGTGAGAAACAGCATCAGTGTGAGCATGACATACTGTGATCAGCACATATCAGAAACGATTTTACATCATCTCGTCTGAATGTGTAAATGTTAGTTAGTTTGTCATTTGATTTTCGCCCCGGGCCCCTCCCACCTTTCTTGGCAACAGTTTTCCTCCCGATTCACGTGGCACGGTGTCGTGACCGCTGGCATACTATTGGAGCAATCCGCTTTAATCACCTCCAGTCTTTGGTTGGATTCTTTCCCTGGGGTCACGGTGCAGTGTGCTAGGCTTATCAATGCATCAGTTTAAAAGAGTAGAAAAACAGATGTAATTGTAATGTTGGTAACTGAATACACATGCATACAAGTATTGAGGTTTCTTACTTGCACTGAATTGTGAACAAATTCAAACAGTTCCATCATGTGTTTTGCACAGTAAGCAGTTGTCCTGCTCATATTAGGTTCTTTTATCACCAGAAAGTCATCATTGCAGCACATTGCTTGGTGTATTTTTGTTGATTCTATAAAGTTCACATTTTAATTGAGCACTGGGAATTGGTAAATATGCTAGTAAACACCTTTAATTTTCAGAAAACAAACCTGATTTTTTCACTTTCATTACCTTAACTGATCCATACTGCTGTTGCGTCTTAGCCTTTCTGTAAAATGCGGTGTACTTTGATCCTAACTTGTGTTTTCCTCCCTTTCTGGCACTGGCAGATCCTTAAACCTTAACCAAGACTGATGATTACTGCTGCAAAGACTTTGCTTAGTTTGAAGAAGCTCTCTGCCACCCATCTCTGCTGAACTGCAGGTACAGACTATTTCATAAATTTTCAAAATGTGCTTTTAGGTTAAAGAATAGCAAGTTTGGCTTTGGAGAATCTTAAGTGAAGTACATTTTCCTTAATTCTTATTTGCAGTAAGACTTTCCAGAAAGCTTCACCAATCAACTGAACATGAACAATTTCTGAATTGTGTTGCGCCACAATAGTTTTTTGAATTTAGTTTTGTGAATGCCTGACATTGCCTGACTATTAGCCATGACAAACATAAAATGTGTATTTTTCAAGTTAAAAATTCTGTTTATTTTAATGTTCTGCCACCTGTTTTTTTCACTATACAACTCTAAATTGTGGCATTAGACTCCACAGGGAGTGTATATGATGTGGCTATACACAGAAGTTGCTACGGTTACTCCCTCTCAGTGAGAAACATGCCACAGTCAGCATCAGGCTTTCACATGGAAAATACTGCTATAATTGCAATGTGCTGTTCAATGCAATCTTCTACACTAATTCAGTCAAAACAGAAATCCAGTTCCAAGTTTTTACAGACTGCAGAACGGTAAACGGAAGACATGCAATACGATGTTACACTTTCTAAGAGGCTGTGTCATGTTTAAAGACCAAGTACACAGCTTTATTATATTTTCATTCAGAGACGTAAACATTTCTAAATACTTTTTCTAACCTGTTCTTAGACAACAAGAATTTCATGATTTTGATTAAGCTGACAAATATGAAATAGGCTATAGCAATACCAGACATCATGCCTTCAGATGCATTGTACTCTTGTTTTTGAGACACATGTATGTATAGTATTTGTGTGAGGAAACACAATTTCTGGCGACATTTCAATACCCACACAGCACTGATTCTATGGGCAGTGTATGGTGCAAATGCACTTTTAGTGTTATATTTGTAACACTACGTTGGAATGAGAATGTAAAAGGAACTAGTATATCTACATTTTGTAACACATAGAGCAATCCCAGCACTGGCTACTGAATAAAAGGCCCTCAGTATTTTTCACATTATGAAGTGAAAAGAGTGATTCATAGCTGGTCTCTTGTGCTCTTCTCTTAACTGTAGACATTCAGTTTGAAAGTAGCGATTGACTCCATCATCTATGGAGGAGAATGTGAGCCCTGAGCTCTCTCTAGCCTCTGAGCCAGAGAAGAGCCAGGACCGTATGGATAGCTGCTCTCAAGGTACCTTGGATGAGCTTCTTTTCCTTCACGAGTAATGGGTGGGAATGTTGTACTAATACTGGGCACAATTGTGGTGTCAGTTCAATGATATTTGGGTGATTTAAAATTTTGGTGAAAGTCTAGGGTAAGTAGGGGTCAAATCCAATGCAGTCAATCATTTTCATATTCATTTTCATTTATATGTTTGCTAGACAAAACAATCAGTAGTTTCTTGGCAGTGTTGTTGTGTTGCACTCTGGTGATTGCATACTATGATTGTTTGCTTACAGGGTTCTTTGATTGTCTGTCCGCAGGTGTTGGAGCAGGGAATAGCGAGCAGCACGAATCGTTTCAAACTGAAAGCGAGAATGTGGCCACAAAGACTCTAGAGGAGCCAGATAAATCTTCCAAGGGCAACAGTGAGGTAAAGAAGACTTGGGGTTTCCGTCGGTCCACCGTTGCAAAGAGAGAAATGCCAGTCGAGGCAGCAACCAACAGCTCTGAAAACCGCTGTCCTGTACGCCGTAGTGGCAGGCAGTCTAAGCGTACAGACAAACTAGAGGAATTCCTCTTGACTGCCAAAAGAGGGTCAAGAAAGAGTGCCCCTCCCAGCCTGGAGAGTGGAGATCCTCCTTCCCAAACCCCAACTGATGCAGAGACCGCCTCAGAGGCCAGCTTTGATGGTAATGCTGACACCAAGGCTGTGGAAGACAAGGTGGATTCCCCAGAGAGGAGGACAAGAAGTGGTGCAAGGAAGCAGACTCAAAGGAAAACTCGAGGTGGCAGACAGACGAGAGGAGGCGGCGGAGTGACAGTCAATGATGAGGGCAGCTCTGAGAATGAGGAGGACAGCAGAGATGCTACCAAGATAGACCAGTTACAGGATAACAACGGGGAGAATAAAGATGAAAAGAGTGATTTGAGTCCTGAAGATGTAGGGATTACCAACACAGCACAGTCTCAGCCAGAGCAGGACTCTGAGAAGCAAGAGGTTGGTGAGGAGAAAGACGAACACGGAAATAAAAATGACAAAGCGGAAACGGAGAAAGAGAGTGACGAGGACAGTTCAGACAAGCCACCTGGAGCACTGGTGGTAAAACGTGGACCAATAAGAACATATGTCAATAAAAAGAAGGCAGCCAATAAGAACACTACCCCTGTTAAAGCTCCTGCCCCTGCCAACAAGAGCACCATTCCTGTCAAGAGGGAAACTAAGCCTAAATCCACCCAAGCTGCTGGAAAGACTCGCAAGCCCCAGATGCAAGAGGACCACCACCACCATGACGACGATGATGATGATGATGATGATGACGACGACGATGATGATGATGATGATGACGACGACGACGAGAATGACTCTTCAACCTCTTCGTCATCCATTGAGTCAGATGAAGGAGGGTATGACCCCAATGCACTTTACTGCATCTGTCGCCAAAAACACAACAAAAGGTATTTTATCATCTGTAGTTGCTTTATTAATTGCATATTATTTATTATGATTGCTTCAAAGATGTAGATGATGATGTAGAAGAGTAAAATAATCTCAATTAATTATAATTTCTCCTTTATGTCATCTAGTAGCTACAACCACTGTTTTGCTAAAGTTGTTTTTGTCATTTTCATCAAGTCTGAAATTATGAGAGAAGCTAGTGGCTAGAAGC